GAGTGCCACACGCCCCTGCCTGATTGGGGTGGTCGAAGGAAACCCTTGTCCAGGGGTGGACACACACACACACACGCACAAACAGGCACCTCAAAATATCCCAAAGTCCGCGTGAAACGCCCCAAACACCAGTAAACACCTCCGTCGCCAGGGCTGCAGGAGATGGAGGGTCCCCATGCTCGGGCACGCGACCCAGCGCTACCCGAAGCGCCACTGGCCAAGAGGTGGGGAAGGAGACGGGGGAGGCTCTGTGAGGCTCACAGAGGTGCCAAGAGAAAGTTCAATGGCCCTCTCCAAAAGGTGATCTCTTTAGGTAGCACGGTCACAGAATGGCCTGCCGCCGTCTTGCAATGGTTTCTGCTGGGGCCCTTGAAGAGAGAGGTGGTTTTGGCCGTTGGGTTTTCTAGGTTTGAGAGGAGCGAACGAATGACATGAGGAGCTGGATACCAAGGCCACGGGGGTGTCCATGAAGCACCCCTTAGGGGCACTGGTATAGTATCCTATAAACTCTAGACGATGAAATATGTATATACCTCATATGGTTTGAAGACACGGACAATTTTTTATACAGTTTTATGATCATGTCGACGTCCTGAAACTAAAGTTGCGTGCGTGTTGTGCCAGGGGTGGATTGACAGTTGCTCCTTCTTGATGTTTCCCTCAAAGGTCTCAGGGGTTTCCCGCTGCTTGAGTCACACTAGAGAAGATTTGCTGTCCGGATGCTTTAAAGATTGGTTTTCGGGGTTCTAGTCTTAAAGACTACACTGTACGAAGGGGAGGACACCCACACTAGTTCAATTGCACGAAAACCCCGGCATACAGACTTCGATGTGCGCAAGAGGGTTCAGAGCTTCCAGTCTTCCAGTCTCGGCTTTACGTGGGGGACGTCTAGGGGACCACATTACACATCCCATTGGGACTTGTTGGCACGTCGTGGACTAGAGCTAAAGGCCCCTGGCCCCACCCCGAGCCCCGATTCGCCTCCGTTCGGTCGCGACCTGGAAGGGTATGATTCAGATCTGCATATTATCTTAAAGCCAAGTACTGCGACATTTACTAAAACGATGGTGGGTCGGGATTTCAACTCATTGTATCAAGCCAGTGGATCCAGGCGGCAAACCACAAAAAAAAAGGTAGTCCTAGCCTTCCAAGACCTTCAAAAGATAGATTGACTACTTGTTGTAGTGATAGTAAAACCATGGTTGTTTGGTAGAAACTACACATGGTACTACGCCCCCGTTGTTTAAGACGAACTAGGTGGACCGTCTTCGACCGTAGGGTTTGGGCTCACAGCCTATGTCCTGTGCCCTGTGTGGCACTCCAACGCCGAGCTCGACGCGAAGTGCACCTTTTGTCGAGCGAGAGACAGGTTCTGGCTGGTTTTGGACGATCTGCCTTCAGAACTCAGAGGGTGGGCCATTTCCAATTTGAGGATCTGGACCGGGATTGTGCAAGAGGAGCACGAGAAGTTCATGACTGTCCTGAGGCAAAGGGAGCTTGTGAATAACACCGCAGCGCCCAAATCAGCCGGACCAAGCCTGGCAAGTCAATCTCCTAGTCAGGGGAGATCAGTTGACCCTAAGGACAAAGCGGTCGACTTGAAGGAGGAAGAGACTAGGACCAGTCCGCCTTCGAAGAGAGCAGGAGTCAAAGAGGTAGAAGGAGTGGTAGAGGAGGAAGAAGGAAAGCATTCAAGTTCATCCAAGGCTGCAAAACCTAAAGCTGACACTACATCATCGAGGCCGAGATCACGGAAGCGAAGTAGGAGCCGGAGACGTCGAGACCGGTCCAAGAGTCGTAGGTCGAGGACCCGAAGAGACAGGAGTCGATCCCGAAAGGGCCGGGCAAACGACAGAGGAGAAGGAGGAAAGGAAAAGAAAGCCAAGCCATCCGTCAGACCGCCAAGAACACCCTCACGATCACCGCCGAAGGCAAGGGGAGGACCTCCTCCTAAGCGGCCGCCAGTTGAGAGAGGCAGTGGACCACCAGCTCCGGTCGCAAGACCCACGGGCCGACAGTGGACCGGAACCCTTCGACAGTGGCAGAGGCAGCCCCAATACTGGGGAATCAATAAAGGTCAGAAGAAGAAGGAGAAGCAGTACTACTACCGCAGGTAGTGGAGCATCTCTTTAGACCTTCGATGGCATTGAGGAGACCAGCCGCCAGAGGACGCAGGGCTGGTGAAGCAAGAGAGGAACCTCCTGCAGAAAGGGGAGGAAGAGTAAGGAGGCGCCCAGCTGGGCTAGGCCGGTCAGGAGAGCCGGCACCAGTTCCTGCTCCAGAAGCAGGGAGAGGACGAAAGGAAGAGGCAGGGAAGACGTTCGAAGAAGGCACCTTGACACCATGTCATCAAGTGCCCCTCGACGTTCTACGGAAGAGACTCCCAGTGGAGGTGGATGGAAGCTACTGGGGCCAGAGCGGAGGCATCTCAGGATTGGTCCAAGGTGTCCACGTCCGTGGACGGGAGGACGTGGAGTTGGAAGTGCTGATACAGGGGACAAATCTGGAATCCATCTTGAAGTGGGCGAGCGGTTGCGAGGACAAGTTGATGAGAATCCACTTGTGCGGGGGACGTTGCCCCAGTCCCTTAGACGCCGAGAACCTCCTCCACGGCGAGTTCATGTGCGCCCGCAAAGGGGAAGATCTCCCATGGATGATGAACCTTGTGGCCGAAGGAACCGGAGGAGGGGAGACAGCGCCCATCGAACCTCCTATAGACAAGGGGAGGAAGGAGGAGAAGAAGGAAAAGAAGGACAAAGAGAGAGGACGGAGCAAGGAGAAGGATCGGAGCCGGAAGAGAAAGCGGAGGAAAAGCGGCGAGAGGAGCTCCGAAGACAAGAGAGAACGAAAGAGGATCTCCTTGAGAGGGGAGGCAAAGAAGGGGCTGAAGGCCGTCTATGGAGGCACCGGGATAGATCCCGATCCTCGCTTCAGGCGCAAATTCGCAGCCAAGGCCGCCAAGAAGGCAAAGAAGAGAGGACACAGCTCATCTTCCAGCCACACGTCAGATACCAAGAGTCAGAGCACGAGCGAGAAGAGCATCGAATTGTTTGCAGAAGATCACAAAATCAGGAGGATGGGGAAGCTAGCGCCAGGCGCGCTTACTTGTGCCGCGTTCCGAGAGATCCAGAACTCGTTGTTGACAGCCAGCGGCGGCGTCTGGGATTCGGAAGATGGAGTGATTCCTCCGGTGGCATGTCAGTACTACAGGCAGATCATGCAATCGAGGCTGCAGGGAGGACAGGCCCGCGAGGCCTTGACAGTGGCATGGTCGCTGGATCTCCTTTTACAAGGCAGGACAGCAGAGGCTTGCGACGTCCTCACGCAGAGGTTCAAGAGCTTGGAAATGAGCGGGGCCGGAGCCTCGTGGATGATCTTGCAGAAGGTGGAACTTGTACCACCAGAACGCCCAGTGCTCAGTTCACGTGCAGAGACCCGGGAGGCGATCAGAGAGAATCGGGAAGAACAGAAGACCCGAAGCGAGGCTGCACGGCCGCGAGGAAAGGGGGATTCAGGAAATTCCTCCTGGAGAGACGAAGACAAGGGCAAGGGCAAAGAAGGGAAGAACAAAGGAAAGAAGGGCAAGGAGAAGGGAGAAGGCAAGCGAGCAGAGAAGTGAAGGACAGGAGCTCGCGCACTATGAGCCCAGATCCGAAAGAAGGTGACCTGGCCTCTCAGGAAAGGTCAGAAGCCGATATCAACGGTGTGCCGGCGCGCCTGGCTGGCGATGGTACACCAGGTACAGCTGCCGAAGGGCGACTTTTAGGTCCTGAAGTCCCGGCAGAGCATCCCGCCGACCCGGCCTTTGATCCGAGGTCTGAGCGTGAAAAAGTTTGCATGAAGCCGCCTTGCATGGGAGACCGTTTTGTAGCAGTTGCACCCTGGATGACTTTCACGTTGCGTCAAGCAGTGTCCGTGTTGGGCCTTCCTTTGCAGTGCACGACCCAGCCCTCGGGTGACATTTTTCCGTTGCCCACCAACGTGGAAGTTCTCCAAGCGCACAGTGGTGTCGAATCGAGTGAAGTGGAGATTCTTAGAGGTATCTGCCTGGGGCTGAACTCGATGTATGGTCTTGCTCTTGAGAATGCCTTTCCCCCCAACTCCCACCAAGACGGGGTTCTGAAGTTCTTATTGTCACAATCGCAGGTTGTGTCTTCGTGGGCGGAACACTTTGAGGAAACCAATTGGCATGACTTCTTCAAGCTAAAAACGGTGGACTATACTGGTGAGGAGGTCTTGTGTGCTCAGTACACTAGCTGGGAAAACCTGGCCCCAGCGATGCCCAAGGAGATCGCCTCGGTCCCATTGGTAGAGGTATGCGAGTTGGGGTGCCGGCATTACGTCGAGAATTTCGTGTCGTACGTGCTTCCCGAGGAGATGCGCCAGCCGATGAAGCCTCCTCGAGTGCTCATCACCAATGAGGCCTGGCGAGACGTGTGCAAGGGTCTGTTGGGGAATGGAGTGTGCATTCCTATGTTGGAACAGGATCTCTTCCATGTAGGTGGTCAACCTTTGCTCAACGGCCTTTTTGGCGTTCCCAAGGGGGAACAAGAGCAGGGAGTGGAGATCCACCGCCTGATCATGGATCTAAGGCCCTGCAACAAGGTAGTGAGAGGGATTGAAGGAGACGTGTCCACGCTACCTAGCTGGGCGACAATGGCACCGCTACAATTGATGCCCAGTGAAGATCTGGTGATCTCCTCAGAAGATGTCCGGTGTTTCTTTTATATTTTCAAGATCCCCCGGGAGTGGTCCGCTTTCCTTGGATTCAACCGCCCTATCCCACCGGAACTTTGTCCAGATAGTCAGGGTACATACTATCTAGCCTCTCAAGTCCTTCCGATGGGCTTCAAAAACAGTGTCAGCCTGGCACAGCACGTGCACAGAGTGATGGTGCGAAGGGCAGGAGGTGACAGAGGGGTTCACCTCCAGTCGCATCAAGAGATCAGGAAAGATCGTCCGTTCACGTCACACCCTGAATTGCATAGAGTCTACTTGGTAGTAGACGAGGACGACGGCGCTCCTACAAGGGGAGTTGAGTGAGAGTGTCCTGGCCCTCAGGAATGAGTACGAGAGATGGGGGGTTCCTCGTCACCCCAAAAAGTCAGTGGTCCAAGAACACAAAGCAGAAGTTCAAGGTGCCATCATTGATGGGATCGCTGGGCGAGCATACCCCAAGCCTGTGAAGATCATGAAGTACGCCCAGCTTGCCAGTCTCCTGGTAGGGGAGAAGCGATGCTCCATGAAGCAGGCTCAGGTGGTTGCTGGGGGTCTCGCGTACATGAGTATGTTTCGCCGGCCATTATTAGGCGCTCTCAACTGTGGAAGTTCATCGAGTCCTTCAAGGCTTATCCTCCAGTAGTTCATCTGGAGATTCCTGCTGAGGTCAAGTTGGAGGTGGCTCGGTTCGTGTGCTTAATCCCACTGGCCCAGATGGACTTCCGCCTGAACATCAGTCCAGAAGTCACTGCCAGCGATGCTTCCACCACGGGTGGGGGATTGACAGCGAGCGTAGGGCTTACCGGCTTTGGACAAGCCGCCGCAGCAGCCACAATTCGGGGTGACCTCCCTGAACCCGCAGATGTATGTGCAGTCCTCACCGTGGGCCTATTCGATGGCATTGGCGCATTGCGAGTAGCTGCAGATGCCTGTCAACTGCCCGTGTTGGGGCATGTCAGTGTAGAAGTGAAGAAGGAGGCCAGTCGAGTCCTTGAAAGTAAATTTCCCTCGACACTTTTTGTGGAAGAAGGAGTGGAGGCAGTAGATGATGAGATGGTGAGAGGATGGGCCTGCCGGTTCTCCCAAGCATCAGTGGTCCTCCTAGGTGCTGGACCACCGTGTCAGGGGGTCAGCGGGCTCAACAGTGAGCGACGAGGCGCCCTGAAAGATCACCGAAGTTGTCTGTTCAGCCATGTGAGACGCGTGAAGGAGTTACTCAAGAGGCACTTCAACTGGGCGCAGGTTCGGTACTTAGTAGAGAACGTGGCCTCCATGGATGACAAGGACAGGAGTATCATGACGGAGGATTATGGTGACTACCTGGTGATCATTGATGCAGCAGGGGTTTCACTGGCGAGACGTCCGCGTCTTTACTGGTGTGACTGGGAACTCCTACCAGGGGAGGGTGTGCACATCAGACCATGGAAGCACAGTGGCATGGCAGCTTTTCGGGAGGTTGAGCTTGAGGCACAGGTGGATCCTAAGGAATATCTTCAGCCTGGCAGTGTGAAAGCCAGCAAAGAACCTTTCCCTACGTTTACCACGTCACGGCCAAGGTCACACCCAGGAAGGAGACGACAGCAGAGGAGCGTCAGACTTGGGAGGCAGATGACTTCAGGTTCCCTCCTTATCAATACCAGAAGATCCTGTCCATCGTCGAGTCCAATGGTCAACACCGACTCCCTAGCAGCCGCGAACGTGAGGTCATCATGGGATTTCCCAAAGATTACACGGTTCAGTGTATGCCAAAGCAGTTCCATGGGAAGCCATCGCATGAAGACGAGAGGAAGACATTGATTGGCAACACCTGGAATGTCACTGTGGTAGCATGGCTTCTGGCTCAACTGGGGTCTCAGCTTGGGCTATGCGCCCCGCTTACTCCACAGCAAGCGGTGAAAGCCACTTCCCCAGGTCAGTCTACTTCCTTGAGTGGATTGCTGCACGGTCAGCCCATGAAGAAGATATCCAAGACAGCCAGCAAGGGGGAGTGCATGTTAGTTGCTAAACTCCTGAATCTAGTCAGTCTCAAAGGGGAGGACATCATGGTCCAAGCATCCACGGAGGAAACTTTGAGGTATCATCGATTACGTGCCAGCCTGCCGGCATCGTTATGGAAGTGGAAGACCATTATGGGGTGGCACTGGCATGGAAGCGCGGAGCACATCAATGTCCTTGAGTTGCGGGCAGTACTCACGTCCTTGAGGTGGCGGATCGTTAAGAAGCACGCTATCAGATCGAAATTTGTGCACATGATCGATAGTTTAGTGTGTTTGCATTCGCTCTCTCGTGGTCGAAGCAGCAGCCGAAAACTTCGTCGTACTATGAGTCGTGTGAACGCTTTGCTCCTGGCCAGTGGGTCCCATGCCGTATGGGCATATGTTCATACGGGGGACAATCCAGCAGATCGGCCTTCTCGAAGGCCTGTCCGGAAGAAATGGTGAGGAGAAAGAACGCCCATCTTGAGGGCAGGGACAAAGCCACGCGGCAACAGCAACGACGAGTATTAGGCCCATTGAGGAACCTTACAGTGCAGCCTGCAACCCGTGAAAGGTATGATCGTGCTCTAGAACGCTTTCGTCAATTCCTGAAAGAAGAAAACAGACAGTTTCCCTGTGATCCAGGACCATTAGATCACTGGCTCAGTCACTACATTGAGACCCTTTGGGAAAGCGGAGAAGGCAGAGCCCTGGCCGCAGATACCATCGCATCCGTTCAGGATCATCTTCCTTCGGTCAAAGGACGGTTGGCAGCGTCGTGGAGGTTGATGAAGACATGGGCGACCAATGAGATCCCTAACCGGGCACCACCGCTTCCCTTACAAGCTCTGCAAATGATGATTGGCCAATCGCTGTTCCAGAACGATGATCTCTTTGCCTTGTCGTTACTCCTCGCTTTTCATGGCCTCCTAAGAACAGGGGAGGTACTAGGGGTGCACAAGGCGCACTGCCAGCAAGCTGGTCCTCGCAGTGTAGCTGTCATCTCCCTCGGGATGACAAAAGGGGGAAAAAGACAAGGAGCGGCGGAAAGCATCACCATCAGGGAGGAAGATCTTCTGCGTCGATTATGGCAATGGAAAAGCACACCCCATGCTAGAAGTACGCTATGTGAAGCACCACACACCTGGCGCAAAAAATTTTCAGCCTGTCTTGACGCATGTGGTCTAGGTGACTACCAGTTCCGCCCCTACAGTCTAAGACGTGGGGGGGCCACTTGCTACTTCTCAAGGTATGGATCACTCGATCGCCTTCTCCTTTTGGGGCGGTGGCAGGCTGCAAAGACAGCCCGGGTGTATATCAACGAAGGTCTAGCCACTTTGGCTGAGCTAAGACTACAAGGTAATTCTCAGGCGCAAGCCTACCGACGCCAATACATACGGTCTAAGAGTGTAGAGCTCCAACCCCTTGAGCGTGCCCGTAAGGGCAGGCCGGGGGACAATGGAAAGAGCAAGAAATCCAGGAAATCTGGTCGGAAGAAGGGCAAGAA